GTGCTTTTTCCTTTTAAAGGCTTTCCATTTTCTGTGAGAGTTTGGTAATCATCTGGTGGTGAGAAACAGCTCTTAAGGATGACTGCAGAATAGAGAGGACTTGACCTGTAAGGAAATATGGAGAGATTGATACAAGGATGAGAATAAATCATTTATGCGGAAGTTTTCTTCTTAAATTTTCATTTCCCCCATTTTCTCTCATGTCTAGAGAAAATCTACAATTTTAAGTCCTACTTAACAAAGACTGAGCCTTTATTAAAGATCTGAACCCAGGCTGGGAAGGTGGCTCAGTGGTAGAGCGCTTGCCTTGCTTTCATGAGGTCCTGGGTTCGATTCCTCAGCACCACATAAGCAAAAAGAAAAAAGCTGGAAGTGACGCTGTGGCTCAAGTGGTAGAGGGCTAGCCTTGAGCTGAAGAGCTGAGGGACAGCGCCCAGGCCCAGAGTTCAGGCCCCATGACCAGACCCCCCCCCCAAAAAAATTAATAAAGATCTGAGCCCAGATAGCCTAATTACTGTGGAAAATTTTCAAATAAAATTTTATTTTTATTTCCGTTATTTTTTCTTTACAGTTATTGTCTTGAAATCATTCTATTAAATTTAACTATTTTCTAGATAACTATGAAATGAAAGCCTAAAGAGATTGAGCCATGCCTATCATACACAAAGGTTTAATCCCCGAGACCAAGAAAAAAGAAAATAAGCTTTAACTAGTGACATAGCTAACTTTATAGTAAATTAAAAAAAAAACTAAATTGTCTAAAATGTTTAAAACACTATTTTAAAGATTATTGTGAATGGTTACAGATGAGAAATTTAATTGGTGAATGTGAAATTTGATTTAGTTAACAAAATACTTGTAAACTCCTATTTCTTTTGTGGTATTCGGGATTGACCTCAGGGCCTCACACTTGCTGGACAAGAGCTCTACCACTTGAGCTATGCCCCTAGTCCTATTGTAAACAAGTTTAAATGTGGCTTTCAAATAAAAGTCACTTACGTCCCAAACAATAGACAGACCTTGAAGAAAGACAGACCCACTTTGTGAATGCTATAATTTGTAGTTATCTGTGTTAGTGGGGAACTTGGGGAACTATCATTTGATATTATTACACATTCTTAAAAGCAGATGGCTTGTGTATTTATCATACATGCAAATTCTTACCATATTAAAGTATGTATGCTGGGCACTGGTGGCTCACACTTATAATCCTAGCTACTGAGGAAGCTGAGATCTGAGGATAGAGGTTCGAAGCTAGACTGTTCAGGAAAGTCTGTGAGACTCTTATTTCCAATTAACCACCAAAAAGCTAGAAATAGAGCTGAGGCGCGAATAGGAGAGCACCAGCTTTGAGTGAAAAAGCCAAGTGAGAGCATGAGGCCCTGAATTCAAGTAACAATACTGGCAAAAAACAAAACCAAGCTGGGCGCCAGTGGCTTACCCCTGTAATCCTAGCTACTAAGGAGGCTGAGGTCTGAGGATCACAGTTCAAAGCCAGGTCTGGCAGGAAAGTCTGTGAGACTCTTATCTCCAATTAACTACCAGAAGACCAAAGTGGCGCTGTGGCTCAAGGGGTAGAGTGCTTGCCTTAAGCTAAAGAGTGCTCACCTTAAGCTGAAGAGCAGAGGGACAGCTCCCAAGCCCAGAGTTCAAGCCCCATGATTGACAAAAAAAACAACAACAAAAACCCCAAAACAAAAAACCCAAAACCATACCCCCAAACAAACAACAAAACAAATGTATAAACTGGAAAACATTAATGTAGAAATGAAATAGAAATGGTTTATTAAAAATAATTAGAAAATATAGTAGGTAAGTTGCACTTTGTGACAATTCTCTTTAAATTAAAGATAGTGATTTAAAGCCGGCACCACTGGCTCAAATCTGTAATCTTCGCTGGTCTGGAAGCTGAGATCTGAGGATTGTTGTTCTAAGCCAGCCCAGGTAGGAAAGTTTAAGAGACTCTTATCTCCAATTAATCATCACAAGGCTGAAAGTGGAGCTGTGGCTCAAGTGGTAGAGCACTAGCCTTGTTCTGCAAAAGCTTAGGGATAATGCCAGGACTCTGAGTTCAAGCTAAGGACTAGGGGTGAGGGGAAAGTTAGTGACTTAAGTTCAAAATTCTCAGCTTCCTGCAGTGTGTTTTGGAATCTTTATTTGTCCTAATCTCATGAGTAAGCAACAATTTGATCACTTAAAGACTTCAGATTACACTCCTAAAAATGATTGAGGAAACAATGAAGTTGAGACTGAATTCATGCCAATTTTTGGAAATGAGGTAAGTGATTAAGCATTTAATGAAAAGGAGACCCAGACTAACTCTTCTATCTATTTACATTTCAGAATCTCAGAAAATTGGCAGGCAACCTAGTGTTGAAATAATGGTAGTGAGACAGAGTGTTTGCCAGAGTGTTGTTTGTGAGTTTCTTTTCTGTTTTCATTTGGTCGGTCATGGAGCTTGAACTCTGGGCCTAAGCGCTGTCCCTGAGCTCTTCATTTCAAAGTTAGCCCTCTACCACTTGAGCCACAGCACCACTTCCAGTTTTCTGGTGGTTAATTGGAGATAAGAGTCTCACAGACTTTCCTACCCAGGCTGGCTTTGAACTGTGATCCTCAGATCTCAGCCTCCTTAGTAACTAGGATTACAGAGCGAGCCACTGGTTCCCAGCCATTTGTGAGTTCCTATTTTTGCTTTGTTAAAGTAAAAGTTTTCAGCTTTTCTCAGTCAGGATCTGTGGTCTCACTACTGGGAGAACACTGGTGAGAAAATTTTTTTCAAGTTGCCAACCTTTCCAT